GACAACTATCAGGCACCAACCCAATTGCTCACAGTGAATTGTGACACTGTTTCAATTTCAAGAGAAAAGGGTTTTCATTTACAGCTTTATTTGCATTTTCAATACCAATCGATGTCAGCAATTTCCAAGCACCACAACCCCAACAAGCTTAATGGGGTTTAGAAAACATCCCCACCAGCGCTAGCTGAACTCTCTCAGCCCATGAGTACTCTCATTCCACACAACCAATCACTACAGTCAGGCTTGTGAATAGGAATTGCATGAGAGTTGTATGTATTTTTTTTCACCAGAAAAGGCTCATTATGATGTTATTCTCACTTCAAACTGGCAGCCAAAGTCCTCAAGGCTCTCCATGATGTCTCTCTGACCAGAACAGCATCCACTGAACCACCCAAGGCACTCTTTCCTCCAGGGAAGAACAGGTTTTCCTTCCACACATCCACTCAACAGCAAGAGGCCACCACATAAATGTAAGTCACCCATATACACACCCTACAACTATGAAACTACCTGTTCACTCACCTGGAATGGAAACAACAAGAACAATCCTATCTTCTACCTACTTACACCTACCCGACAGGAGGATGAAGCCAGGACATAGCTGGTCTCTTCCTCCAAGTAAAAAGCAACAGGACAAGAGGAAACGGCCTCAAGCTGAGTGAGAGAAGGTTTAGATTGGAGATGAGGAAACGTTTCCTCACTGAAACGGCAGTCACACATTAGAACACGCTGTGCAAGGCAGTGGTAGAATCACCATCCTTGGAAGTGTTCACAGTGTAGACAAGGCCCTCAGTGACACGGGTTAGTGATGGCCTTGGCAGTGAGGAAAACAACTGGACTTGAGGATCTTAAAGCTCTTTTCCAATGCATCCGATTCTATGACTCACAAAGGTATCAGTAAGTAGAAGTTCACACCAACAGGAGTGCATTCTCATGACAGTAATGCAAAAGTAACCCCAAGTTCACAAACCCCCTTAAAAGCTTACAACAAACTCAGCAAAGCAACTCATCTGTGATAGAAGTTAGGGAGGAAGGGGTTGTGCTTTATTAGTCTTACAAATAACCTGCATCTGACCAAGTCTGAACACTGGTAGCGAGACCACAGCCCCCTTGATCTCCCAAGACTGTTTTCATTGTACTCATTTGCATCAGCAAGATGTGCTTTTGCTACGCTCATTTCCCCCTGCCCAAGCTCTCGTGCGAGTTCAAAAGTCTCGGCCCCTGCGATGTATCAGGTATGAATTAATACCCTTCCTTAGGAGAACACGGCAGCAAAGTGGAAACAGACACTTGCAAGGCAGCTTTCTTTGAAGGACCTGCAGGGACAAATGGTGACAATGAAGCTCCAGTTATAGAGGGAAGAGGTCGAAGGTTCAGACAGGCAGAAGGATTACGAAACTACAACTTGGGCAGAATTCCACCGCCTTCCCAGTTTAGACAACCAGGGTCAAGCAGTAGCTTTCCAAATAAAACCCTATGAGGCTACTCGCTCCTTTGAACTTCACAGGGGGGGGAGAAGAGACAATTTGCTTTTCTAGAAGTTCTTTTGAGGGCCCATCTCAAAAATCAAAGAGATGAAGGGCAGCTTACAACAGCTCACCTAAATCAAACACTGCAGCAGCACCCATGGCTGCGTGGGGAAGCTGGGGGGGTAACCGAGTTCTGCTAGGTTTGGGTGCCCACCCTTCCTCGGGCATGACATAAACCACCCGCACAGAAAAAAATCCACTACTGCTTAAACTACTTTGCTCCACAAAGCGGTCTGCAAATGAAATCTGGGAATTGAATTTCTCCTGGCAGATGAACTCGCAGAACCTCTCTGTGGGCATCCCTTGCTGCTGGACTGGTTTGAGAAACCGCTCCAGACCCCACTGCAGGCACAGGTCTGCAGAAAGCAAGTGTAAAAGCGACCCTTGTCTTACTTCAGCGAGTGACATTAACATCAGCTTTGTGGGAGATCAGCGCGCTGAAACTTAACAGGAGCTTACAAAACCTTGTAAAACTGTGTCAGAAAATACCCCATCTTCGTGTGAAGCATTAACAAAATATCACTCTATAGCAATGAAGTAGTAAAAATAACAGCACTGCATTTCGTGGTCATTCCTTCAGTGCAGAAAGCAAGCATAAAGCTACTGTGCACATTTCTTAGTGATTGTGCCAAGCTAAAGCGTTGACTCCTAAAATTCAGTTATTCAGGTTTGTTTTCTCTGCTCACCAAGTCATCTACGAACAGCTATAAATACAATATTTATTACGCTGTTTGGTACATGATAGACAAGACCCTGCTAGAAGATGGGTAAAGGCTTAAAGTCACCGAGAAATAGTTTTGCTCTTGCTGTTCAAAAGCATAAGGCAAAAAGTAATACATGTCACAGCCCAAGCCATACAGCTATCCACAATGACTTAATACCTTCCTGCCACAGCAGACACACGGGCGACTGCTGCTGAAGAATAAACCAGAATGGTTTAGGATCATGATGGAACAAGTCATTTATTCCCTTCCAACCTTGACTGTCACCTTCCAGCTAAAACTTTGGGAAAGCATTTCCAATTCCCTGCATGCAGGTAAAGGAAAACACAACCATCTCGTGATTGTACATTTGATACAGTTTGTTTTCAAGGACAAGCTTTGCAAGAAAAATGTAGCCACACAGGATGAAATATGACTTCCATTTTCCATTCCATTTGGTTACTGCTCAAATATTCTGCATTCATTTTATCCTAACACACTGACACGAAATAAGCATCTTGTGAGTGACTGTCAGAAGTATTTGCAAGGTCAAGTGCTACCTGGCATAGCATGACAAAAATGCAATACTAGAGGCAGCAATGGGAAAAAAAAAACCAAACAAGAATTAGCTACAGAAATATGTTAAAGAATAATAAATACTACTATTTAATCTGTAAGCAGATTTATCAGCTTTGTATAGCAAAGAAGCTCACTCTTAGAGCACTGTGGGAGCACAGAAAAGTCGACAGAGGAGCTACTGCAGGACTTGATGTCAGAAAAGCAGTGTTTTAGAGAGCTGCGAGAGATCCAAGATGCAAAATAAATACAGGGAAATGAAGCACTTTGCACTTAAAATGTAAAAACCTTACACAGAGAAAATCTACATTAACACAGATCACAGATTCCGTCAAAAAGAGAAACGTAGCAGCAAATCTGGTTGCAAAGAAAATGCTTGGAATGGTAAACCCTGAACATCCGTGATAAGGAAGCGGGTGAAAACAATCTGAGTTTTTCAAGTTCATTAGCTTCCCATTTCTGAAGAGCTGGGAAAGCTGGCAATACAGAAATCCTGACACTTACCTACCGAAGGGTGTATCCCGCTACACAAGAGATGCTTTACTTCAATTCGAGTTTCACCAAACCACACTAAAAGTGTATGCATCTAAAGAGCCCCACAGGCATAGATGAGGTTTTATCATCAAAGTTTCACCTTTTAAACGTGGTAGTAAACCAAAAAGGAATCCACTATCAAGATACACATCTGCTATCAAGCAGAAAACTGGAATTTCTAACTAGTAACACTAGTATTTCTCTAGCGCTCAATACATAGATTTGCAGTATAGCATGCTAATCAAATGTTTCCACCAAGATACATAATCTGATATAGCTGGAACTAAGTGAATTTAACATGCTTATGTGTCTGAATTGCCACCTGTAAAGAATCACTTTTGCTGGGAAGGAAACTCTCATCTAAGTCTGGTCCACTGGCCACATCTTTTCTGCTCCCAGCACAGCCTATCAATAAGGAAATCTGAATAACAGATTCAACCAATGAGGCCATCTGGGACTAAACGGTTTGAAGTCCTTCACAAAAACTATAGGAAACAACACGAAGCCTCTATATCAACCAATCACCCCAGATAAGCATTAACGTGATAAAAAAAAGAGATGGTTTTCAAAGTTTTCCCATGTCCTCTTCACGAGGAAGTTCACCCCGCTCACATGAGCTGCTGCTGGCAGAAAGGAATCTCTAACTACAATTTGGTCAGCACATCCAAACCTTTGCCAAAGTAAACCCTGTTCTTTAGAGGCTGATCAGGTGCTCGGTCACTGCAGAATGAGCGCCGATGGTAAAGAACAAAAGCACCCTAAAGACCACGGGCTTGGGGAAGGGAGCATTCAGCATCCCCTCCCCTGCACCTCCGGGTACGCGCCAACGGGAGGCCCCGGGCGCTTCGCTGCTCGTGGAAGCGGTAAGTAAATGGTTGTTATCCTGCGCAAAAGAAACACAAACACCACATCGACTACTACCAACCAACCCCAAAGGGGGCTCATCCGTGAACAGCAACGTGGCCTGCACCTCACTGCATCTGAGAAGCCACACACACTGCAGCACAGACACTACCAGGGTCCCTGTACCCGTGGTTTACCCACCCGAGAGGACTACAAGCAGCCTGCAACTGCCACTCGTACACCTTCAGCCAAGCACCAACCCCTCTCCATTCCTTTTAGAGATGGAAGGGGGAGGTGTTATATAGCATAGAACGAGGTGAGCTCACTGTAAATGAGCTCTAATGCAAACCACATTAACCTTCTGACATCACCTACGAAGACTGGATGGGAAAGTCACTAAAAGCCACACCACTTTCCAAACAGAATGCCATCGTGCTAGAACTACCCATACTCTGCAGAACCAGAGCACAAGCACGCTCAGAGAGCACACCACAGCACTCAACCACGGGGAGGATCAAAGCGTGACAGCTTTAAACAAGTGAGAAATCAGACATTCCCATTGCCCTTAATGCCACAAACGAAGTCTCTGTATACATTGAACTTTTCTTCCCGAGTAAGCATAAGAAACCGAGCAGACCGGACAGCAAAGCGCTCCCATTAGCTCATATTTACCAACCGCTTTCGCACGGGAATCTCTCTTTTACTTGGGGCGATCACTAAGTGCGGCAAAGGCAGCAGACCCGTGGGAACCCGACCTCCGCCCCAGCCCTCCCCCGGCACCCGCGCCCCCGGGGCCCGGCCCGAGCTCCCCCCTTACCTCCGATGATGGTGCGGATGAGGGAGGCGTGCCCGGGGCAATCAACCAGCGTGAACTGCAGCTCGCCGGGCCCTGGGCCCAGTTGCGGCGGCAGAGCGGTGCGCAGGCAGGAGAAGCCCAGGTCCAGCGTGATGCCCCGCGCCCGGCTCTGCGGCGCCCGGTCGAAAGCGGCGGTGGAGCTGGTGGTGCTCAGCGCCCGAGCCAGCGCCGTCTTCCCGCTGTCGATGTGGCCCAGGACCCCCACGTTCACGTTGAGCACACGGGGCCCGGCGGCCATGGTTGCGCTGCACCCGGACCGGTCCGTCCCAACAGCGCCCCTGCGGCAACGCGGGCCCCGCCGCCGCCGTTCCGCGGCCTCCGCATGAGCCCCGGGCAGCGGGAAAGCGAAGCCGAGCCCAGCCCCGCCGCGGCTGCAGCGAGGGGAACGCAGGCACCAGCATCCCAGAGCTGAGACACGCGTTAAGGGCCGCGTTCGCAGCAGGCGGGTGCGGTGGAACGGCTGCGGGCTGCGCGGCGGCCGCTAAGGGCTGGGAACCGCCGGTCGCAACGGGCAGGCGGCTCCGCTCACCTCGGTACCCCCTCGCAGACCTCCGCCGGTCCAAAGCGGCCTCACCCAGGCGGGGCCTCTAACGAGGTTTCTTGATGGCCGCACACCCCGCAGCTGAGCCCTCTGCCCACTAAGGCTCCTCATAGCCCCATTGCAGGAGGAGGGAACCCCGGGACGGGTCATTGCCGCTGCCCCGTGGCACCTGCGCTTCGCTCTCATCATGCCCACACTAAGTAGTGATTGCAGGGCTACGCCGCTCCGCCCGATCCGTCTTCGTGCTGCCTGCAGCGATGCCTCCACCCTGGTCCCGCTGCAGGTGCGGTGCTGAGGTTTGGTCTCCGAGGCGCGCGAACATCGCAAATGGGTATGAAAAAGCGGGTTAAGACTTTGTGCATTTGCTCAATCAACACTGTTGGGGTTTGCAGAATTCACTTTGCTGTGAGTTTGTGCGGTATAAAAGTCATACCTTGAAGGAATTAAGAATAATCAAGATTATCAGTGGTGATGGAGAGCTCACCTGCAAACCAACAATAAAAAAAAACCCAAACAGGTAGATGAGCATCAGAGAGCACCTGAGAGGCCAGAGCAGGGCTCATTTCACTGCTTTAAGTCACCTGGCTTTACTGATAACTCAGGTCACACAGTGCCAAATGCATTACACAATAAACATCACACGTGTTCTGCATTTTCAGTAGTGACCACTGAGTAATCCTAAACATCACTTCAAATGACAAAAGCTGTTTGCAAGCCAAGAAAACAAGACTGTTACAGACACAGGTGCCCCACTAGACCACACGTGCACTATATTCCAGAGATCTTTGGGAGCAGTGCCATTGTGGTTTTTGCTCTCCCCAGGAAGTAATATACATTGCTGATAGTATTCAGCATTCATAGCTGAGTAATGAATGAGCCAGAAATGTAAGATGACTTGCTTAAGGTTACTGTCAACATCACGAATGTTGTTTTTAGGCTTTGACACCAAACTCCAGGGTTTTTCTTTCACAGAAAGTTGTTTCATGTAACAGTGCTTTCAATGTGAGTTTGCAGAGCTTTAAAGTTGGGTACAAATCATACCTCCTTCCCAAGCACACCTAAGTCAAGATGACAGAGTCAATAACTTGGTGACAGGAAAGAGAAAAAATAGCTTTCCATGGTATTTTGAGACAACTGTCTCCCTAAAGCAGCCACATGAACTCACAAGCAGCACTGTGCTAGCACCATTATAATCAGCTTATTGAGCTGAACAGTTCAGCTTGATGGGAACTCTGTCATAGGAGCCAAATAAAGCATAATGTCACTTTCCAGACCAAGTTCCCAGGCTTTGAATAGTTTCCTGTTAAATCATAGGGCTCATGTATGTTTCCTTGTCCTGAACGTCTCAATCTGTTACATCAATAAGTACTTGCAAAGTAAAGGGCAAGTATACATCTGCTCCCATATGAAACAACCCTACGCAGTTGTAATCCACACTGGTACCCTTGTATCACATTTCCTACCGTTGCATTCCTTTTTTAGCATTAATTATTAGATGACTTCAGAAGGAGGAAGTGGGAAAAGGTCTAATTCCTACCCCAAAAGAGGCATTATCCAGAAGTCCCCCCAGAACTCCTAAAATAACTCCATTTTCTAGCTTTGACAAAGTAAAGTGGTCTCAAAGTTCTACAGCTTGGCTGGCAGTGAGGGGAAGGAGGTGCCCACTCAGAGCATACCCGTCTCAAGGATTTGAGAGTCCATGGATCTGATTTTACAACCTATCTCTTGAAGCACAGCTCTTTGCAAGCTCAGGGTGCACATGGTACCTGTGAAATGAATGCACTTACACCACCAATGTCAAGGAGGAGGAATCAAAATGTAAGCACTTTTATTCAGTGTTTAGAGGTCCATTCTGTTAGCTTAGAAAGCTTTAGAATTAATTACAGGTTTGGAAGTTGAAGAGTTGGCATTCATTAAGATCCATCATTCCCATTGCCTTGATGAAGAGTAGGAAAAAATCTTCCAGCTTCTTTTGCAGGAAAAAGCCCAGAACCACACAGTATCACCCAAGTCTTTATATTACTACAGAGGAGAAGGGAACATGGCAAAATGAAAGAATTCCATCTTCTCCCGATTTTTCTACATCACAAAGCAATCAGTCTACAGCATTTAGCTGTTCTGCCTGTTTTCCCCTTAATACACTATTCCTTTTCCCAGTTGTTCTCTCCTATCCTGAATTTCTTCCTTAAAGAGTGTTCACTTTAATTGCTAAAGTTTATGGACTCATGGGAGAAAGGGCAGGAAGTCAGACTTTGGGGATAGGGTAAAAATGTAAAGGTCATTCACACACTTACACGCACATACTCTCTCTCACTCCAAAAATAATACACTATTTGACAGATCCAGGATTCTGCATGTCCCATTGAAATTTGAAAGCTTATGTGAAACTGGGCCACGTCCTGTAACCTCAAACATTTAGTCTAGGAAAACAGCTCTCAAGTCTCCAGCTCCCACATCGGGTATCGCATGACGTCTGTGCCAAATAGGAGACCTCAAACAGGGGGGCAAAAGAAACGGTGGTAAAATGAGTTGATTAAAGCTGGGGAATAACAGCTCAGACTCTTAGTGACAGGTATTGTTTTTTCTGGTTAACTGGCTAGTGAAATATTCAATTATACTCAGAGCACCTATAACATGAGATGGGCAGAATGGTCGAACAACCTACTCATGTTCCATCTGGTGGCATGGACAGAGGAGAAAGATGACTCATGCTTTGCAATGAAGTTATTTTACCCTTCCCCTCTAATGTGTTAACTATTCCTAAACCCAAAAATCCTGTTAAAAATCGAGGTTTAATATTTCCTTATACTGATGCATCATTGCACATCAGACAGCAATTATAAAGGAGCTTTTAAACTATTTCTGTTCTAAACTTTCTAGTAGTTCTGCTTGTACTCTGCTCTTTCTGGGGAATAAGCAATTAATCCTGTGTGGTCTAAAGGGTTATTGTTTATTTACCCTCACCCAAATGTACTCTTCTCCCCCTTGAACTGCAATTTCAGTACAGTGCTCAAAGAACATATGGAATGGATAAAACAATCAATACAATGAGCTATGGCAAACCACGCACAGCATACGGGTGACTGTAAACCCCGTTAAGCAGTATTAGCTTGAGCAGTTAAGAGGGAGAAGCCAGCCTCACATCTATTGAGCAAACAAGTGCTCCCTGCTTCTTTTTTTTTATACTGAAATCTCCTCTTCTACCGCAAATACAAACCCAAATGATTTCCAAAGCATTTTCTGCAGGTCAGTACTAAAACTGTGGCTTTGTCACAGCCATAGATTTTATTTACAGAATACCAGTGGTCACCAGCAAATAGAAGTTTTAGATTCTATTTTTTAGACACCATACTGCTTTGGACAAACATTTAATACTTCTGTTTGCTACCCACTTTTATCAGGAAACAATCTCTAATTTAGTTAGTATTTCCAAAAGTTAAAGAACCTTATGTAGCACATCTGATTTTTACATACATGGAATATTTGTCTCTCTCCTCTGAGTTAATGAGGATTAACAGGAGTTCTCTATCCCTGCCATCTACATTCCTATATATTGAATTTCACCAAAAAGAAATAAGCAAGTATTATTACTCTTTGAAACACCATAATCTCAAAGACAGGCCTAGCTGCGACATCAAAGAAGATAACACGGAGCATATGGACAGATTTCAGTCTAAATTAACAAGTTACTATGTACTTCGCCCATTGCTAGCCCTTCTTATAAGGGAGGGCCTGGACCTCCTGTTAACAACGTCACTGTCTAAGAGCTCTTAGAGGAGTTGCTAATTATCCTTGGAGAAACTTGAGCTCTGCCCCGCCTCACCCACAGCACTCGCGGCAGTTTAATGCACTGGAGAAATCAGAGTTGTATATTTGCTCTCTGACTAAGGAAAAGCTCTGCAGCTCAGGATGTATTCGGCATCTGTATGCTGTGACTAATACGACCCTAAGAGGATGTACAGAGTCCAACAGTGTGCATACTTCTTTAATTATTTAAAGGAAAGCTTGTATTTGTTAGCTTCAGAAATTCCAGCTAAAGAGCTGTATAAGTGGACAGACCCTTACAAAGGTGTTGAACTACACGTGTGCAATTCCAGGTTTAAACGAGAGTATGTAAATACAAACTGACAGAGCAATTAACAGAAAAAGAAAGCAGCAAACAGCCAAGTCTTTGTGAATGACATTTATAACAAAACTCATACAAGCTCTTAGACAAAAAGGGAACAAACAGCAAATACAGTGTTCCCTGGGCTTCTGCAACTTGAACCCATCCTTCCCAAAGGCCACTCTCCCAGCTGGTACCCTCATATGATGGCTCTTGCAAATCTCCCTGGCAGTGCCTGGGAAAGCCAAGAGCACCATCCCTTTGCAAAGCCAACAATCCTGCATCATCCCATGTTAATCCATTGGCCTTGAACACTGCAGACACAACCATAGTTTTATAATCAAACACAGAAAACACTGCATCTATGGAAAAAAGGATTTATCTTTTTAGGGGAGAGATTCCAATATCCACAAACACTGTGAAGTCACTGGCACTGCAGGTTCCCAGATCTCACAATTCTGCAGGGAGTGATCTCCATCTCAAGGTGCAGCAGAATTACAGCTCAGCCCCCATTAGGAGTCAGAACAGCTACAGCTGTAGCATCACAGACTTGATGAAACCAGGGCAAGGTTTGTGAGGCCATGAAACTACATGATGAGAAGGTGAAGCATTCCTGCCCATTTACAGACTGGTTTGGGACAGACCTTAAAGCTCCTCCAGTTCCAACCCCTGCCA